CCAGCTAAACTTATACACTCTAACACACTAGAGGGCCATTGAAATAATCAAGTGACACTACCAATATTGTAATTGTGAATACTTGATTCTAACCAGCTAAACTTATACATACTCCAGGGCTATTGAAATAATTAAGTGACACTACCAATATTGTAATTGTGAATACTTGATTCTAACCAGCTAAACTTATACACACTCCAGGGCCATTGAAAGGGATTTTGAGGAGGCACAGTTGTTTCTCAGCAAGGTGAGAATAGAGGTCAAAGAAGTTCAAGCACTTTTGCACTGCAGTCCAGGTAAGCAGAACATTCTTCAAGAAGATACCAACAATACTCCTGGTAATGCTGACAGCGAAAATATAAATGCAATTTCTAAGCTGAGCATATGTTCTTAACCCTGGCAGACAAAGCTGACCTTGACCTCGAAAAAATAATGAATTTCTTGAAGTGATTTGAAAATCTACACAAGAAATAACGTTAATCCCATCAAGGTGATTATTTTTTAATGTAAGCATGAAGGCGTTTAGCATATCTTAAATCATGTTGTGATTGTCTTGTTTTTAGAATGTTATTGCTGTGTATTATTACAAATTTCATTCTTTTTATGTGCAACCACTCTGTGCACTCACAGTAGGGTTGCCCTTAGCCAGAGGTAATTGTCAGAAAGTCAAAATTTCACTGCTACCACCCCCCTCATTAATTTCTGTTACAATTTACAAAAGAAATATTTATGTAAAATTTCAACTCAATCAGACAACTGCCTGGTGATACGCAAGGCTCGAACATACTTTTGTGCAAAAACACATTCTTGTTAAAGAGTTCTTCTCCCTATGAGATAACTGAAATTGATCTTGAAACAGGGATATCTTGAATGCATATGTTGCCTTTAACAAGCGCCTAGCATGATTTACATGGTATACTAAGTGATATTCCATTCTTGAAAATGCTGCAAAGAAAGATCAGATCATTGTTAACTCCAGCAATTCTCGGTAAACATGTTCCGGTTGTTTCTGTGTAGAAAGGTTGTGTTCAAGAAATCTAAGAGCAGATATCATCAGGCACTTCATTGCTACCAGCTATGTAAATGTTCTTATCAAGTTTAGTCTAGGTTTCTATAAATCTTTTGAAACGCTCCATGTCTGGCCCAGAAGCCGCACACATCAGTGCGTCAAAACAGCTCCTCAAAGCTAACTGAAAAATGTAATGAATGCAAGGGAGGTAACAACAGGTCACAATCTAACAATTTTTCTAGATTTGTAAAGGCACCATTTACTTGACCTGTGTCACCTACCGTACTGTCGTATCACAACAAAGTGCCTGAATTTTGTCGGTCTTACCTCACTTATCTACTGCTTGGTGACTAGCCATGGTCTGCTCTTCTCCTGAAAATTTTGGGATTTCAGGGACTCCAAATAATTGCTTGAAATAATTACTATTACAACAGTCTGTCAACCTTTTCAACACCTTTGAAGGGTGGGAGCAGAATTCCATCCCCGTCCAACTCTAAATCTTGGCAGTGGTTAAGTGAAATTCAACTGAATTCTCTAGATTTTGTTTCGAAGGTGTTGTATAGAAGTGCCATTTATTGGCAGGTTTTCAGTATCACACCCGAAAGATTCAGCAGGAGGCATTAATATGTAAACCCCATTTCTATAGTTGATTTTGCACCTATCAAAAATTTTAGAGAGATCGGGAGTAAAAAAACTCCAATGAACCTTGAGTTGCTGGAACTTTTGCTGCTGCTACAGTTGGTGCTCTTGCTGTTTTTTGCTGAACAATGACAGAGAAATACTACCACCACTGCTTTGCCTACTTGATGTTGAATCATCAATTTCTGATGTAACAAAATTTTTGTTCCATATCTTCATAGGTAATTTTTGTTTCCTGGTAGTTTCCATTGCTGTGCGTTTCACCTCTATTTCTTTCTTGTGTTTTAGTTTTCAATCTACACCAACCATGGATCGTCCTTTTTGTCGCTGATGCATTAAAAAACTTCATTTTTAATCGGCCCCAAAGCATCTGAATTGAATGAAATATGTCAATTAGATCAACCATATTTTGTACAAAAAGAATTCTTTCTTTCCTATTCCTTGCCTGCAGTTTTAGTCAGATTTTTCTGTAAACCTTTGCAATTATCATGGGTGTGGTGGTGGTGTGTAAATGTCTTAATTGCTCGTAATAGTAGCGAATGGGTGAATTACTTTAAGTTATATATTAACATTATAATATAGAGCAGGTTATAAAATAAGTTTATCTAATAATAAGAATAATAACTAAATATAGCATCATAACATATTTCACACTTCAAACATTCAAAACTTCATGATCATTGCGGGTCACCTCACAGTTGTGCGATTGAGCTCAAATTTTGCCCAGGTTTTTTTTTTTTTTTTTTTTTTTTTTTTTTTTTTTTTTTTTTGTTATTGGAATAAGATTAGGGGTTGGGAGCAATGTTCCCTTTAAGGTTTGTTTGTTCGTGTGCAAAATCATACAGTAGTGTGCAAAGTTTTACAGCATCAATATTTTTGTGTGCAAAATTTTACAGCCCACTAACACAAACACACACTTACATGGAAATTCGCTGAGCTGTACTCAAAACTGCTGCGCGGCGTCTGTGAGATAGCTGCGCGCGCAGCTTAAAGGGAGCTCAAGTTCTGGAAAGTTGAAAAATAAGGCCTACCCTAATGGAGAGAATTTTTTTAAGTTTCTAAAATTGTAATACAATTATTTATTTTTCAGAGTCCTTTTCTTTTTTTTTTTTCACAAAGTTAGATTCATCTGAATTTACCATAGTTATGTGCCACCAATGTTTGTGATTAGTTTCAATTTTATCATTTGTCTGGCTTGTGTTATTTTGTCATGATACAAAATTGTTACCATGTCACACTATGGTCATATTATTGTTTTTTGTTGCTATTTTGATGTCAATGAATGAGCAGAATAAGGTTGTTTTTAAATGGATCGAAGACTGTACTTAATGTTTTTGAACATAATTCTGATTTATAAGTTTGCTAAACATTTCTTAGAACTCCACAATATCTTCAGCTGTTTAAGTTTCTTTCTAGAATTCAATTACCAAAACCAAGGTAAAAGTTTTATTATTATTAAAATTCTAAAATTACGTAGCTTGGTTTTTTATTTATTCACATATAAAATTAACATTGCAATGCACTAAACAGACAAGGAACAAAAATAAAATTGAAAAATTAAGACTTACTTTGAATACAATCTTTTTTTTTATTTGTTAAAATAAATCATTCACTTTTATACATAATTTTTTGTGATGATGATTATATACAATTGAAGTCATAATGTTTTGAAAATTTAAATACATTTTACTCTGTATCAAAATCAAATGGTAATTATTATTTTATTTGCTTTGAATTTTGAATACAAACAAATTTTTTAAAATTAAATTAAGTTTCCTAATCTCATAACAATTTATATTACAGTCTATTGTGAAGGAAATAAAGTTACCTATTACCTACTTTCATAACAATTTAAATTATAGTCTGTTGTGAAGGAAATAATGTTAACTTAAAAAAATGTAAACAATAAAAGTGAGATTAAAAAAACTTTTCCCACAGTTGAAGATGTATTTGTGTCAGTTTCATCTAATCATCTTAAATGCTTTTTGTCATAGATGTCTCTAAATGACAACGTCAGAACAAATGCCATTCAATCATTTTAAAACAATTATGATCCATAATATTTGAAATGAATGCTTTTCATATAATTTGTATCTTAGAGACCAGGTGATTTTAAAATCAGTTACAAAATTGATGTACCCTGTTCCTCTAAAATTCTTTACGTACAATAGTTTGCAATCATTAAAGTCAGGATCTGCAACCTTTTTTTTGAGTGAGTAGAAATTTTTAAAACTTATAAATGATCTGCTTGCAATAATCTATCATTTGTATTTGACATCAAATATTTCAATTTTGAAAAATTAACGTAACATATAACAATATGCACATACAAAACATGTCAATAAGAAGAATATTAATTTAATTTCGAGACACAAATCATAGTAATCAGTTTCTAATTATCACAATTGTTGCCACTGAACAAAATCTATAAATACAAAATACAACACATTTTTGTGGTGCAAAAAGAAAAATAATATTTGCACCAGAAGGCTGAGAATCACAGGCCTTGTCTGCACCAACTGCAAACTCTTTTAGAGATTTGGGATAGCCTATTATCTAGAGAGTCCTAGGCAATCTTTTCAAGAGATTTGGGAAAGCCTATTATCTAGAGAGTCCTAGGCAATCTTTTCAAGAGATTTTGGAAAGCCTATTATCTAGAGAGTCCAAGGCATTCTTTTCAAGAGATTTGGGAAAGCTTATAATCAAGAGTCCTAGGCATTCTTTTTAACAGCTTCCGCTTCTTAATTTAAGTGAGAATATTATCCCCAAGTTAGTTAAAATAAATACACATATTACATTCAAAGATTTTTTTCCTGCAAATATTTCCAGGTACCGTATTCTTTTAAGCAGACAAGATGCTAACATGGGATCACAGAACGTCAGTATGAGCTAGATATACAAATACAATATGATTCAGCATAAAACTACATGTAACCCACCATTAAAAAGAAGATAACTAAATTCTATAATGCATTGAAATATATTATTTCAAAAAGGCTTACCAAAGTTAAATTTTTTACTTGCGTTGAAGTGTATATTGAATAATTCTCAACAGCACATTTCATGCTCATATTTCAAGAAAATTAATTCATATAAACAATGCGACTGTTACCAATAATGTCCTTTTAAACTGAGATGACTAACCAAATGTAAGAGTTATTCTAAGGAATGATTCAAGGTGTTTTAAATTGTGTACATTGTTGTACTACTTACAATCACAACCATGATGTTGCAACATAAGGTACTAGCAAGTCATTTGCATAGGAGTATATCATTTTAAATCTGAATTTGGGACACATTTTCGCAGAGAACATTATATGATCTACATCAGTGCCCCCCCCCCACCCCCCCAACGGACCAGCAAAAGTTCATATCTTAAAACATGTCACTTCTTTTTTGGTGCCAATCTGTTGACCCATGCTTTGAGAAGTACTGGTCTACACAAATCCCTTTCTCCTACACCAATATAAGTTAAAGTTTAAGGACAGATCTAATGCTGTCTTAAAATAGCTAATCCAGTTAAAACAAACAGCTTAATGTAAAAGCAAAATAAAATTTGACAATGATTAATGGCTAAGTAGAACTAGAATAAACCGCTTCTGTTCATTTTTGGTAATATTTTCGTCATTCATGGTGTCCAGAAAAGAAGGCCCCATACAGATCTTATGTTGTTGTTTTATTATTAGGGAATGTTTTATCAACAGAGTATAAAAAGAATTTTTCACAAATCACATTGGTATTCATATTAAATGACAACAAGGTTGCGCCTCATCAAACCAGTGCATGCAGATTTTACTTCACACAGTAGGTCTCAGTCAAATTTTATAACACTTTAGTTCTCTATGTATTTGTTGCACATTTAGCCTGCAGTTGCAGCATTAGCTCTACAGATGTAGACTAAATATATATATATATATATATACACACACACATTCTCATTGTAGTTAATAAGAATAAATAGAGAACTTAAAAGCTTAGAGTATGGGACTAACAGAGAGGAGCATGATTATAAAGACACATGTTCCAACACAAATATGTCAGAATACAAATTTAACCATCTGCCCCTATTTTACCATTCTAAACTACTTGAAGATGACAATCCTCTCAGGTACAATGTCCCTGATCTTTGCATTACGAAACAATCAAATCCTATCAGGTACAATGTCCCTGATTTTTGCATTACGAAACAATCAATTGTAATCTTTTTTATATTTTTATTAAACGTCTGTTTCACAAGGTGCGAAGAGATTCTACTGGATAAGTTTTTTAACAAAATGATATTTTTTGGCCATTCTAATATGAATAATTTGCTCTGCTTCATTAAAGCTGAGGTTAGCGGGGCTCAATAATAAATGAAAATATAAAAGACATATGCTTAATAATAAGGCTTTCTAACTAAATTGCTCAAGTCACCAATCTGCTTGCCTTGTCTGGAAGTTAGGGGTCAAGTTTCTTTGGGGCCTAGAAATCAACAGCACTCCTGTTTGACTGTCTTCAATATTAGGTTGGTCTGGTGTATCAAATTGTTGGCACTCAAAAAGACATTGTGGTTCCTGGAATAAGATTTCAATATGAAGCTTGGGTGATGTTATGATATATTAAGTGTATTGGCCAATAAATAAATAAAACATTACAGTGCATTTTTGCAATATTTTTTTTGTTTTCTTCATCTTACTTACATTATGTAATTAAGCAAATATAAAGTTTCAAATAATACTGTTACAGACTGTGTTAATCATGCAAATGACCGATTTTTCACATGACACTAATATTTAATGTAACAGACCGTGTTAGTCATACAAATGACACAGATTTTTCACACGACACTAATATTTATTCTTATGGCACAACAGTGTTGTGATTTGATGATAATGAAGTAAAACACGAGAAAAAGGGGGACTAGTTTTCATAGCGTAGGGAGAATTCATGTTTTATAGAGTAGTGCAGGAGCCAATGGATTAATTTTGTGAGAGGATGACATGTTGGAGTTTTTCTCATGGAATTACTGAATTAATAATTAGAAAAAGCATTGAACGAGTGTTCACTCATATTCTTCATATCGCCACTGTTATTGTTACTATAATATCATTCTAATGTCAAGGAGTTATGTGATGTATTTAATATATAATAAAGTACTGTGTGGTGTTCTTTGGACCTTGTTGCTTCTTAGCAAAGAGGAAGAGGCAGTCGTTGGGTAGTTGAATGTGATAGTATTATCAAGTCATTGCTTAATTTGAAAAGATGCAACACACCATGAGCTAACGTTTATATTGAAACATAAACGCCTACATAAAAAAATGAAAATTATATACAATATATATAAACATTACAAATAAATTTAAAGGAGGGATTCAAATCTAACTTTGTTTAATACTCATTGACTGAGTTGTAAAAAAAAAAAAAAAATTTTAAACTCTAATTCATGCTGCTTTTAAGACTGACAAAGTTTACCCTGCAACTATTAGGCAAGATTTATCCATTTTAAGTATGGATTTTAATTCTTCTACAACATTTTGCTTACTGGTTTGTGTCTCTAAAGTACTCCTTCAATGTGTTGCTGAATTTCTTGGAAAATCGAACAAACTCTTTCTTTCTCTCCTCTAAAATCTAAAGAAGAGAAAGAAAAAAATGGGATTTAAAAGAACAAAAAATATTGGAACCACAACAAATTATATTAGAATTCAGGCAGAAATATTTATTATTGTTTTTAAATATTGAGAAGTAACAAAGAGTAAAACTGTCGCAGAGAAGTAACAAAGAGTAAAACTGTCACAAAGAAGAAAAAAAGAGTAAAACTGTCACAGAGAAGAATCAAAAAGTAAAACTTTCACAGAGAAGTAACAAAGAGTAAAACTGTCACAGACACTTCGTAAATACCAACTCTCCATATTAATTAAGATTAAAAAATGTAGATTTATTTTCTATACATGTCTGCATTTTTGTTAAACTCAATCTGTTTAAACATAATGTATGCTGCCACATTTTTTTTTTTACTACCAATTTGAAGTGACAAGAAACATTTTTAAAGCGAGCATCCACCCAAATTTTACAATTGCAGGTTCCATTAAGTACCACTTGACTGCTACACTGCCTGAATTATGATTGCAGGTCCCATTATCATTAAGTACCACTTGACTGCTACAATGCCTCAATTATGATTGCAGGTTCCATTAAGTGCCACTTGACTGCTACACTGCCTCCATTATGATTGCAGGTTCCATTAAGTACCACTTGACTGCTACAATGCCTCCATTATGATTGCAGATTCCATTAAGTACTACTTGACTGCTACACTGCCTCCAATTGAAGCATCATTTTATTGACACGGCCAGACACAAACTATAATTAATAATTTTTAAGTCAGTATCCTTTTTGATATTTCAAATAAAACGTGGTAATGAAATCTTAGTGTAAACTTTACCTGTTTACTTGCACCATCCGAAGGTGGTATATCATTGATGACGCGGTTAACAGCATCTAAAAGTATTTTTATTGAACTGGCTATTTCCCTGAGAAAGGACCCAAAAAAATTTAATCTCATTAAAGGACATATTAAATAAGCACGGTAATGATGTTCCATTTATCACGTTTAAAATATTAAATAAATTACCATTCAATTTTTGGAATTTTTTCAACTATTAAAAAAAAAATCTCGCTTCTATTGGTTTTGTTAAATCTGTTGATAGAAATAGAATGTCCCTCACTAGAAGTTTTGGGGGAGGCCAGGGGAGAACCCTATGTGAGGAGAATGTTATATGGCTCAGCTCAGCAGATGGAGCTGGTAGCCAATGTACTAGCCGGGGACATCAGGCAGTAGTCTCAGACCCCTCACCAGAATATGTGCTTTAGTTAGTTCAATTATATAATAGGGAGGAAAAGTTCGAAGCTGACTAAACAATATGCTACATTTTCTTACATTCCCTTTTGTCTTTATTTAAAACAACAACAAAAAATCAAAATACATTAATCCTGAAAACCAGATATGTACCTTGAGTAAATGCCACCCTTGGTGAGCTCTTTAAATAGAGCCCTCTAACATATGCGCTTCACATCATTTATGCAATGTTAAACATAGCCCTAAATCCCACTTTGCACCTCCTAGGTTTGCCACTTCATACAATTTTTACTGCACAATATAGCACAGTTGTCATTCAAGAAATAAAAGATGAAATACATTTGTACTTTTTAACAGTTGATTATAAGTTTTAACAAGAACAAGACTATTTCCCAGGGTTAATTTCTTACTTGATGGTTTCAAGAAACTGCTTCCTGTCGTAGATCTGATCGGGAATACGGCTGAGAATCAATTTCAGATCACAGGCACACTTGAACAATGTTTTAAATGCAGGTTCAGGGCGTGGAATTCTAAGTTCTGGAAAGATTAACATACTAGATCAAAATTAGCCGATTAGATTGCATTTAAAAAAAAAAAAAAAATGATTTATGTAATCAGGAAATGTGCCTTATTGAAGGTACCGATAAGACGTAACAATTTCAGATCACAGGCACACTTGAAAAATGTTTTAAATGCAGGTTCAGGGCGTGGAATTCTAAGTTCTGGAAAAATTAAAATACTAGATCAAAATTAGCCGATTAGATTGCATTTAAAAAAAAAAAAAAAAATGATTTATGTAATCTGGTAATGTGCCTTATTGTATGTACCGATAAGACGTAGTCCTGAGCCTTCTTAGGACAAGTTAAACCAATGAAATAATTTAAATGTTGTCACTGAGAGTTTCATATATCCACTTAGTAAGGATTAACATTGCTGCACACTTGGACTAGCTGAAAATTGTGTATTAAAAACAAAAAATATGCGGTGAAAGAGGGAGGCCTTGACCTACTTGGGTAATAGTACTCTTGACATGATAAGTGGATCAGAAACAGGTGTTAGGGATAGAATTGGAAAGGCTAGGTCAGCATTTGAGCTTTTGAAGAAAATATGAGAATAAAAAAAGGGAAAAATGGAAGGCCAAAGAGTTCATGGAGATATGAGCTTGAGGCAGACCAACTGTACACATTTGGAAATGAAACCACATGATCAAGGTGAATGGGAACACTTGCAAGTGGCCTATTCCCCAGGCTGGGTAAAATGTGTAGGTAAATAACTTTTAACTGTTTATGGATTAAGATAATAACAGAAATACATTAAGAATTTTCATTAAAGATCAGCGAAGACTGAAAAGCTTGATCAGAAATAGGCATCAGTAACTTTATATTTTCAAGTTTAATAGGCCACTTAACTTTTTACTTATTTTTAAAATTATTTTCCTGTCACTGTCATAATCAATAAGATTTTACACTTTTCGGCAAGAAACAAAACAACAGTAATCTTTTTCAAAACCGTTAATTGAAAATCTGATTATCATTTAACATCTTTCACAATAGAATTTCTGTAAACACTAAATTTTTTTCTTTGGAAGCCCCTGTGCTTACCTTCAGAATCGTTTGTACCCCCAAGTCTCAACAATGTTTCACACATATCCAATCTATCGGCTGCTTCCCCCTTCTTAAGTAAGCCTTTCACAAGATCAAAAGTCAAACCAGGTATAGTTGTCTCTGCCTGTGGAATAAAATTTTCATAATGATTAAGTTTTCATTGGTTAAAAAAAAAACCATTGTGTAAGGTTTTAATTGGTGGTTCAGTTAAACATGAAATGATAATCTGTACATTCGCACAGCTGGTGCAGCAACCAACATTGATTGCTTCGTAAATCGTATATGTTAGGACTATACTGTTTTTTATGTTTGGTAACACATAGTGTTTAAAAGCATATTCAAGAAATAATAAATTATAGAATAATCCAACATAAAACCTTAGAAATAGCTCTCCTTAATGTTTGTGCTGATGATATATCTTTTTTTTCGAGCTGAAAATGAAAAATATAATGTATGAATGATTTTGAAAGCTTGTACGTTTACACTAAACATAATTTTTAAAAAAATAATTAAATAAAGTTGCACATTAATTACAAATTAACACCGATAATTGAGGACACTCAATTAAATTACATGTATGAATTATTAAATTGTAAGTGTGAAATAAAACAATTAAACCATGCAAATAGTTAAAAAATACTTTAACCCTCTAATGCCATAATTGACCATCAAATCCTCACAAATGCCTGTCTACAATGCCAGGATGTGGCATGGCAGGCAGATATTCACAAATAATGCTCTTTAAGGCCGCCTAGCAACTAAGTTACCACACATTCATTTCATTAAATTTACTGCTGCACTTGCAATTGAAACTCTTTTTTTAAAGAGAAAATCTGTATGTTTTTATCCTCTTTAGTTAAAATGTGATGAGAGTTCAAAGTTCAGCATTGCTTTCCAAGCTCTTTTGTAACAAGCCGCTAAACTTATTATACTAGCAAGTTTAGATGATAAAACAATAAAACAGATCGATGTTGAATTTATTAAAATTAATGTAGAAAGTAATAGTAAGAATGTTATCGTTGAAGATACATCTGAAATAGACTATAAAAATCAATACTGTTACATACTGCTAGACCTGATAAGAATAAAAAGCAATCACATTTTAAAACCTGGTTTTAACAAAATTGTTTAAGTTGATCATAAAGTTGCTTAAAGGTGTTCATGAATTAAATCATTAACAATCCAATCACACTTAAACTCTTTAAGTCCCAGTCTCAGATTACATTAACTTAGGGACATTTAAATAGCACAAATCTCACCTTATCAAGTGTGGGTCCAATCACTACATCCACCAACAATTTAGAGTATAGATTTTTATCCCCCATTGTCTTCAAGAGCTAGTGGTGAAATTAAAGTCAGAATTGCAAATGATTAAATAATTTTTAAATAATTTTTTAACAATATTTTCAACAATATTTTCAGTACCATTTACTTTTTAATACTTGACTCCTAAGCCTATTATTGTGGTGAACTATTTGAATTGAAGAGGTTATTTTTTTTAAAATTTAGGCATAGGCCTACAGAAGAATATAAATAAACAAACATCACTGAACAGCAGTGAACTGCCAGCAACCAAGTCGAAAGTATAGCCAAATGTTGTTTTTTTTCATTCAAGCAATAAAATGAAGGCTGTACATTTAAAAAGCAAAGTCTATGACTATGATATATTTCTATCATTTTAAATAAGATTACCCCAGTACCGTCAATAAAATTTTAAAAATTATGTTTAAGCTGGTGCATTTGTGGCTCAATGAAAAAGCACAGGTACACTTTCCTGATGGACAAAATCAAATGAAAATGCAATCAATATCAAAGCCTTACTCTTAAACCTAAGCTAATTAATTTTTGTCAGGGATTACCAACTAAAGCAACCAAAACCGCATCATGCTCAACCCTTAGTCAAGTCCAAAAATCATATTTAAGTCAAGTGTCATGAATTAAAAACCATTATTCCATTACAATTCAGTGTGTTAAATTTATAATTATTCACTTACACTGTAAAACTTACAGTGTTACACTATTAGACTAATGTAATTTTTATTTGCATTCATTGACCTTAAGCTTTAAGTTCAATAGTCAAATAGTCATAGTAATAAATTGCTAGGGCAGGGCCTTATTAGATGACTATCACTAGAATAAGTGAAGATGCCTTTTGGCCTTACTAATATTTTTTTATTAAATTATCTCATGTTCATTACTTGTATTACTATATGTATAATTTATTATTAATATTATGAATGAATATATTTTTATGAAATAATGAATGAGAGCTCAGGAGAGGCAGAGAATTAAGATCTGATTCTGTGTGAGTAGTATAGTGAGAAGATTCGAGGAAGGTGATTAAGTTTTGACTCCAACAGTATTCAAGTTCAAACACTAGTTTATATTTTAAAGAACTAATAAAACTTTGTTCAAAATAATAATGAAAATTATTGAATAATTAAATTTTAAACTGTGTACTTTCAAGGAGTTGCTATCTTGACTATGACTATGTTATGGAAGTCGTGTCACCGTCAACAAGGAAGGAAGGCGTAACGGAAGTGTAATTAAATTATTATATCTGCTTTTTGGTGTTGATTTTGCGAGGCTAAAATTCCTTTACATCAGTCCATTATATATTATTCTTTAGCCCTAATTATTTGTAATTGTTTTTTAATTTAATTTTTAATTGGTCCTGCACCCCTCCATATAAAGAATATAAGTACCGCCTGGGACGTTCTGCCCCCCCCCCCTCTTTTTTTTCCCTTATTCTAGTTAACGCTACTGCAACCATCCAGTCTTTAACGGTTAAAAATACCAACAGTAATATGTCTACTTTTAACACAAGTACAAATAGGACAAACATTACTAAATGTAAACAACACTATAGGCCAGAGGCGCTCAACCTTTTTAATGTCGTGACCCCTTGATAACATGTGCCAAGTTTTGATAACCCACAATCAGGATTATTCTAGCAATTAAGATTTTTGAGGAAGCGACTATGGACAGTACTTGCTAACTGTATTTATAGTGTAGTGACATAAGAAACGAGCCCAGCTCAATCACCCAGGTATTATTTAATTTTAAAATGAAAGGAGGTAGAAGTAAGAAACAACCCCTAGCATAATTTCAGCCCGCCCCCACCCCCCCCCCCCCCCCCCCCCCCCCCCCAGGGCTACGTGACAAACAGATTGATTCCCCTTGCTGTAGGCCTACTGTTGGATACTATGCCTACATTGCTAAGTGTTAATTTTTATATTTATAATATTTTTACAGTTGTTTGTTCACTGAAGAAGACTTCTAGCCGACACGTTTGTTGTTTTGTTGCATCCTTTTTTTTTTTAATTTTAGGTTTTCCTTACTTCGTTGCAATTATTTCCTGCTATAGACTTGTCAGTATGGTGATACAATGTGACAGTATTTTTTATGTAATGACATACAAATGCACTGACCGTTTTAAATGTATATCTAGTCTAAAAAAATAGAGATTCATTGTATAATAGTAATTGTAACTTTTGTGACGGTACAGCAATCTTATGTACAACCTATTAATAAATGTACTATATGCATCTATTCAAGAAAATACATATAGGCCTAAATGTGCTGTATGTATATTTTTCTTTAACACAAATTTTTTTTGTATGAGAATATAGAAAAAAAGTTTTATAATGTATATTTATTTTTAAAAGAGAGTTTAATAGAGAGCATGCCGGCATTTTTCACGACATAGAAAATGCGAAAGGCTGATCGCATTAATAAATTTGGCGCGTTAATAAGTTAATAAATTTGGTGGTCTGAGTGGACTTGCGAAACACCTGTTTTTTTACTTCTATTGGGGGTCTATATCGGCGTACACTTTTTTAACATTTTTTTTTAAAAGCATAGCTCACTGGTTTTCTATGTATCTTAAATCTAACAATAAACTCCTTCTAGTTGGTCATGGCTTGATGATGCGAGCCCTCGTGATGCGTCCTGACCGCCCTGATCTGACAGTTGTTGCGCAACAGGTCACAGAGACGTTGGTTTGCGGGACACTGCTGTCTACTCACACTCACAGGCATTGAGTTCATGGCGCTAATCGGACTACCCAGGGCCTGGACAGGCTTCAAAATCTTCGCTATTGTTCAACAGATATTTCTTAATTTAGATGCCGTCTGCTGAACTCCCAAAAATACTTTCGTTCAATTATAAAAAGTGTTTGACTGCGATAAAGCTTTAAAATAGATTAATAAGACACGAACAAATTGTGTCAATAGAACAATATAAGTTACGCTTTAATAATAATTATACATTAAACACAATTAAACGTTTCGGCACATGCCTTCATCAGTACAAACAAACAAAACACATTTAAGTAAGTATAAATTATAAATTAAATTTACATAATATCAATATACATATCCTACCTAAAACAGACAAAAATATAGGAGAGGGCGCTAAAACCAGACAAAAACAAAATAATGTCATTTTCCTGTTTGGTTTTTACAATTATGTTAAAATCTCGTCCTTTCTACTACTCTTTATTTATTTTATTTTTTTGAAATTTGTTAAAATAATGTAATAACCAGTCAATTTTTAAGATTTAAATTTTATTAGAGAAAACTTGATTGTTGACGTCAACTAATCTAACCCCCCTTCCCCCTTGTCAACAATTGTCAAACATTTCCAAACCCCTCCCCTCTATTTTGTTGACATAATCAATGGACGGCCCACTGCAAGATGTACACTGTACACAAGGCGTGACAAGGCGCTCAACAGTGTGTAATTAATGTCATGATTATGTCTCTTTTGATAAAATTTTTATGTACAGCGCGGTGAGCCCAGCCCTAGGCTGGGGTACCGCGCTATATAAGACGTCTTCTTCTTATTATTATTAATTAAACAACATCCTCGAAATTGGAAGCGGTGCGTCCAGCAAGAGAGTTCATTAATACGTGTTGCGCACCGTGTGTTTTTGAGAGATTAGTTACTTGATGAACGTCTTTACGCGCTTGATTTTGTGACGTATATGCATGCTTATTATGACGTAGAGTCTGGTCTGTTTTGTGACGTACATTTTGATTTGTCGGCAGTCGTGAAAGCAACTTCGTAGAAGAAGGTTGTGTTTTATTTTTCTCTGATAGCGAGTTGTGCTATAGACATGGGCGCCCGCATGGGGGGGGGGCAGGGTGGGCACTTGCCCCCCCCCCCCCCCAGACAAAAATAGACAAAAAATGTATTAAAGTAAAGAGAAAATAAAGAGAAAGTAACTAAGCTGATCTCCTGTCCGTTCGTTCACCATACAAATACGCTACAGTAAATTAAAACTACATTAAAACATTATTAAAAATGTCCCCCCCCCCCTCGGAAAGTTAATCGATTTTTTGCCCCCCCCCCACCCCAGAACGTTTTTTGCGGGCGCCCATGCCTGTAGACATGTGTTTACGGTCTGTGTTTACAATTAGTAACAATTATATATTAAAGTTGCATTTACTATGTAAAAGGACTTGTGCTGTCGTGTTAATTCAGTATTATTACGATGTATCAGTATCATGACGTATGAACTGAACAACGTGACAAAGAATTTGATGAACTAATAAACCAATCACCGAATGTCCCTCACGAGATCTCCCGGAAGAAGCCAGGGCGGTTGGAGGACCCTTTGTGGGGAAAATGTTGTATGGCTCAGCTCAACAGATGGAGTTGATGGCCAATTTACTAGCCGGGGTCATAAGAGAGTAATCTCAGACCCTCACCAGAATATGTGTTAGTTAGTAACCTATTGACAGCATTTTGACATGGGGGGGGGGGGCAATTTTTGAAAAAGAAAGAGTTAAGATTTTTTTAAATAACTAAAATAACGCCCTATAAAATAAAAATAAAATTTACTAGCCGGGGTCATAAGAGAGTAATCTCAGACCCTCACCAGAATATGTGTTAGTTAGTAACCTATTGACAGCATTTTGACATGGGGGGGGGGGGGCAATTTTTGAAAAAGAAAGAGTTAAGATTTTTTTAAATAACTGAAATAACGCCCTATAAAATTAAAATAAGCACTGAAAAAAATAATTAAATAATGAGAAAAAGTAAAAGATTCCGTCAACAGGCAAACGGAAGTAACAGGTAGGTAGGGCAGGTAGGATCTTCTGCGATGAAAAACGGAACAAAGTGTTTTACCATCTGTTCACTTAACGCTACAACACAGTACTGTTCAGTACAGTAGGCCTGCTTTACACAGTATCGATGTTTCTCGGTGTCCTCGTGCAATGGTTCAAATTTTATTACACACCTTGCACAATCAGCTGTTATTGTTACTTTTCACTACATCGGAAAGCCGACTTGGGTCACTGATACGTGTATAGTATAATCATAATAACAATATGAATAATGTTGACAATAATATTGAATATGATAAAATATGATCTGAATATTAGTGAATATGGATGGGCCTAACTAAATCAACTTAGTCTTGATTGAAGTTGGAAGAAATTGCTTCATTCATCATCAGTGAGTGTCTTCACTTCACTAATCGCCACTACTCTTCACTCTTCTATTCAGTAAATGTCAGTATGGCAAGTGAGTAGGCCTATGAGTGTGTAATTTTAGGCAAAGATTTTAAAGGAAACTAAGACCATAATATTAATAATTGTAATTTAGGCCTAAAATATATTACTTTTTCATTTTCATTTTATCTTGACTTTTGTCTTACTTACTCTTTTTTAAATAATTATTAAGTGTTAATAAATTATTAATTATTCATGGTAGTAGGTAGACTACACTAATAATATATCCATTTATAAAGTATTTTTTAAAGCAGCAATAAATTTTAATTAAATTTAATAAATATAAAATTTATGTGACATCATTATCATTTATGGATGGCCCAACATAAAATAGTCAGTAGATTAGTTCACTGACTTTGAGTTGACTGATTCAACTCATTCAGTCAGTGATTGAGATTATTCCCCATTGTTCTTCATTAAAAATATTTATTTTTACATTGTTAAGTTTCACATTGTTCTAAATATCTGATCATTAAGTGTGTATTTTAATATTTT